GCAGCCCCGCCACTTATTGTTTAACGTTTTCCTTTATCTTTACTATTCTTTCCTTCCCTCAAGAGGTACCCAGGCAATAAAAACAAATCCTGTGAACATTTTATATGAGTGCATGGATTTGTTTTCACAGTTTTATCTCTTTCACCCTTCCCAGCAGCCCAGTGAGACAGATAGGCAGGCCAGGGGTTGCCCTACCAACTGGACAGGTAGGGAACAAAAGCTCAGAGAGAGACCCATCTGTGATCACACAGGATCCCCGGGCTCCTGACTCCTGTCATGTGCTTGAGACCCACTCGCTGTGAGGCGGAACTTCAGGCTGCTTGAGTCTTTTCACCCCAAACCATGAGTTCTTGCTTTTTTGTTTAGCTGAACTTCCCACTGCCTTGCTGTGATTATGGGATGAAACCCTGAAGAGTGGGTTTGGAGGAGATATAGGGAACTGAAGATAGGAAGTGGAGAATGTCTCTTATTCAGTAAACTTCAGTAAAGAAGGGCTTGGTATTTACCAAGGATTCAATTTTCTCATCATAGAGGAAGTAAAGAAATACTAAAGGTCACATGTTATGTAATTGGACCACTGTTAACCTCTTGTGGATACTCTGCACTTCATACTTTGCAGAGGGCATATGCATGCATGCGCACGCACGCGTGTGTAATTCACATACCATGTATCAGTGTTTTTTTGTATATTCACAGAACTATGCAACCAGCATCACATTCTAAATTAGGAACATTTTATGACCCCAGAAAGAAGCCTCATACACTTTAGCAGTCACTTCCCACTCCCCATTCTCACCCCAGGCTTAAGCAACCGCTAATCTGCTTTCTGTCTCTGTGTATTTACCAGTTCTAGACGTTTCATAAATGGAGTCCAGCTTCTTTTCACGTAACGTAAATCTTTCAAGGTTCATTCATGTTGTAAGATGTATTTGTACTTTATTCTTTTTATTGCTGAATAGTGTCCCATTATACAGTAAGCTACATTTTGTTTATTTATTGATCAGCTTATAAGCACTTGAGTTGTTTCCACTTTTGGCTATTCTAAGTAATGCTGCTGTGAACATTCGCATGTAAGTTTTGTGTGGATATATGTTTTCACTTTTCCTGGGTATATACCTACAAGTGGAGTTGCTGGGTCATATGGTGACTCTGTGTTTAACTTTTTGAGGAACTGTCAGACCATGTGTCTTCATAAATTTATTGAGATGTATTTCCCATACCATGAGACTCACCCATTTAAGATACATTTCCATAGTTTTAGTATTTCCCAGGGTTGTGCAACCATCACCACAATCTAATTTTAGAAAATTTTCATCACCCCAAAGCGAATCACCATACTCATTAAGAGTCACTTTCCATTCCTGCTCCCCCACCCCCTGAGGCAACCCCTAGTCTACTTTCTGTCTTTACGGATTTTCCTGTCCTAGACGTTTCACATAAATAAAATCATGTCATCTGTGTTCTTTTATCACTAGCTTTTTTCACTTAGCGTAGTATTTTGAAGATTCATCCATGCTGTAGCATGTATTAGTATTTCATTCATTTATATGGCTGAATAATATTCCCTTGTATGGATATACCACATTTTGTTTATCCAGTTTCTACCTCTGTCATCCCATCATGTTCTCCCTGTGTGCCTCTGTTTTCTCTTCTTATAAGGACACCAGTCATTGGATTAGGGCCCATGCTACTCCAATAGACCTCATTTAAACTAATTATATATGCAAAGACCTGGTTTTCAAATAAGGTCACAATCTGAGGTGCCATGAGGTTTAGGGGGACTCTTTTCAACACAGTAAATGCACCAAGGAGTAATCATATGGATTCAGGTAGAAATCTTTTAAAGTTACAAGCTGATGTAGGACTTGGGCAAAGTTGAGTGCTAAAACACCCCTGAAAGAACTTTTCTGGGACTGCAGGTCATTATGGAACTGACTGGTTTCACAGACATGGCTTTATGTCAGAGGAGTGGAATTCCAAGTGTCTGTGGGTCCAGCTCCTCCTAACCCTTACTTCATCTTTTTAACAGACCTTGAAAACCTTCTCTGATTTTGACCACAAGAAACAACCAGATGTGGATTTTTGTGCCAGTGGAAATTATTTTATTCATTCAACACTATGAATACCTGCTATGTACTGGGGCTGTTCTAGGCACCGGAAATATGGCAGGGACTAGAACACATTTTGAGTACCTGTAACATGCAGTGTTTTCTCGACCCCTGATGCATGTCATCCTTCTACCTACCAGCTGTCAATTTGTAAATAAGGAAACTGAGACTCAGGTGAAATGATTTCTCCAGCTCTGTGAGTAAACAGACCGGGTCACAGATCAGGTTCCCTAGCCTGAGCTGGAGGCAGAGGGCCCCAGAGCTGAGGATGGGTCACTCTTCCTTTATGGAGACCCACACCCAAGCTCTCAACATAGGGCATGTGAAGGATAGATTGGGTGACAAGGCAGGATACGTAGGTTGTGACCAAATGATGGTGCTTGTCAGACTGGGGAACCTGCACCTCATTCTGAAGGGAATGAGTAGTCAGTGAGTGTTACTGAGGGAGTAGACGTTCTTCTGTGTGCTGTGTGTGTTTCATCAACACATTTTCATGGAGTTTTGTCACCCACTGGGCTTGATGCTGGGGATAAACTTTCCCAAAAGAAATAATATCTCTGTCCTTACTGAATTTATAGCCTAATGTATGGAAGATGAGAAAGAGGTTGGTATTTTCTTGAAATTCTGTCTGAAACACAAGGAAGTACTGGTGAGGAAAAAAAAGTTGAAGAAAAAAAATGGGAAAATGGTTTTTAAAAGAGAGAGCTTTGTAAGTCATCCTGAGGATAACAAAGATCCACTGAAGAATTTCAGGCAGGGCAGTGACATCACGACAGGACATGGTTGTTGAGAAGCAGGGGAGAGCCCTGGATGATGCCTGGGTTTCTGGCTTGGAGAACCAGTTGGAGGGCTTCACTGAGGGAGGGGATGCAGGGAGAGTGGGAGTTCCATTTAGATTGTTGAGTTTGACCTGCTTGTTGGACAGCTGGATGGAGACGCCCAGCAGACGGAGGGGTTCACAGCAGGGAGCCCAGGAGGGAGAACTGAGCTGGAGATTAAGATTTGCGAGTTGTTATCACATAGGCGGTAATGGAAGCCGTGAGAGTGGACAGGATACCCCCGGAAATTCCCCAGAGTGAGAGTGAAGTCGTAGGAAGGTCTGGGGCAGAACCCTGAAGGACGCTCCATCCAAGGGCTGGGTGGCAGAAGAGGAGTCTACAAGACCAAGGACAACGTAGAATTGCACCAGAGGCTGCAAACCCTTTGCACGTTCCTTATGTCTTCTCAGGAAGCAGCTTGCGTTCATCCCTGGCGCCGTGGCTTCTCCATCCCCTAGCGTGAACCCTCTCTCCTCTGCCATTAGAGAGTTCATCTTGCAAGTCTAATGGAGTAGTGAAGCCATCGATTCTGTTAACAAACATCAAGTCCACTATGGGACCTGCAATGGGGACTCATTTTGGAGGTCAATACCGCTGTCAGTGGAACAGTTTTTCCCCAGAGGCCCATGGCTTTTTCTGTTGTACCTGGCAGAAATTGTCCTGCCCAGCATCAGAAGGGACTGGAGAGTCGTTAATGCTGTGGAGCATTAATGAGCTGGTGATTCTGCCCAGGGCCGTGAGAAGGGTACCAAAATAGGTCAGCTAACAGGGAGTGGAAACAGAACTATATCCCCTATGAAATGCTTTGAATAACTGTAGAAAGCCACCATCACCACCGCTAACATTGTCCCCCACTAGCTATCACATCGCCAGAAATTACATCTGTAAACCTTTCTTTTGAACAAAAAGTTTTGCTATTGGAATTATTGTGTGCTGAATCAATGTTTTTGCTTATTCTGCAAAGACAGACTCAGGACTTTCTGTGTACCTGTGACCCTGGGTAAATGCTAGGGCACTCGACGTAATATTGTCAGTCACTGTTCTTAGAAGCCCAGGGGCCAGGCAGGGAAGCAGGGTGACAGTGGATATGGTGACTCATGGGCCACGTGCTGTTGGCACCCAGAAGAATGACCACGTCCAGGAAGGTTTCAGAGAGAATATGATATTATGATATCTGTGTAGGGTCTTAAAGTCTGCGTATGAGTGCCAGAGGAGTAGAAGTGAAATCCAGGCGGAAGGAGCAGCATAAGCCAAAACAGAATCATAAAAGGGGCTGGTGTATTCATAGGCTGATGAAGCTTCCATGTGCCTGGGGTCCGGGAGGAGGAAAGCAGGAAATAGGTCAGACTGAGAAGGGCCTTGTAAGTTATGCTAAGGAATTTGGACTAAGCCTAGAGAGCCAGCCAAATGAATAATGCCCTTGGCTTGGGGCGTAGCACTCTAAATTATTATCTGTCTTTAATATCTTGCTTCCTTTCTAACACAACAGACGTGAGTTTAAGATACGAATTAAGAGAGGAAAAGACCAGTAGAGAGTGGTGAGTTGGGGAACATCGTCCTCGGAGGACTTGGAAGGGCAGGCAGGAGGAGCTGGGACCAGTCTTAAGGGACAGCTCCAAATATATTTGTGCTTTTACCATTAGTACAGTGACTCACGGTCCAGGGCCTCAGAGACGTCTTCAGGAAGCAGAGCTTCATTCAACAAAGCTTTGAGGGAGGTGATGACAGCAGGAGCCACCAAAGAGAAGGAAGGCAGTGGTGCTAACTGCCCCAGAGCTGGCCTTGCTCGAGGGCTAGAGTCGCACTCCTGCACCATAGGTGGCCACACCTCCTGGAAGCGGGACAGCTACTGCCCAGGCTGTGATGGGGAGTGGCCTGCAGGCAACTCCAGGAGCAGGGCAGGTCCAGAGCCTGGCGCCGCAGCCCTGCTCCCTGGGGGTGGGGGCAGAGGGGGAGGAGGTGTGTGAGGAGGAGGATGCTGCTGCTGGACCACTGCCTCTGCTCTTAGTATTTCCTCGTCTTCTGACAGCCTAGTTTGGGATGAGGACACCTTCCCTTCCTTTTTCATTCACAGGGCTCTTTCTCCTTTCCACAGACTCCCTGAGAAACATTTCCTCTGCCGGTCACGGCCCCCGCTCTTCTCCAGCTGAGCTCAGCAGCTCCAGTCAGCACCTTCTCCGAGAACGGAAGTCCTCAGCTCCATCGCACTCCAGCCAGCCAACCTTGTTCACCTTCGAACCCCCGGCGTCAAACCACATGCAGCCCGCCTTGTCCACCAGTGCACCTCAGGAGTACCTCTACTTGCACCAGTGCATAAGCCGAAGAGCAGAAAATGCAAGGTAGGTGAGCGGGCGTCGGCTGAGTGACCATGCACAGGGCCCAGTACTTTTCAGTCTCTGCTTTGTCATTTTAAAGACATGGGAGAAAGCTAGTAAATCTTTTCCAGGTGAGCAAATACATAATTATTAAACAAAACATCACTGTGTTTGCTTTGGTAACCTTTACATTTTATTGGTGTCATCTAGGTTGCTGTACAGTGATAGTTGGACTCCAGAGAAACCTCCTGCTATCAAAAATCATGCTATAGAAATGTTTTGTTTAATTTGGAAAAAAAGGCATTAGGGGCTAGGGTTTCAGAATTGACAAAATCAAAGTCAGTGCACTTGTTGGCCCTCAGAGGATGGCTATAAAACCTTAACATTGTTGGATAAATCCGTATCTCACTTTTGTTCTAGATCTGCGCTGTCACACATGACAGCCACTCTTCAAATGTGGCTATTTAAATTTGAATCAATTAAAATTAAATAAAATTGAAAATTAAGTTCCTCAGTTGCACTAGCCGTATTTCAAGTGCTCAGTAGCCACACATGGCTAGAAGCTACCAAACTCGGTCATAGAGATAGGAAACATTTTCATCGTCACAGAAAGTTCTGGAGCAAGGACTTCCTGCTCGAGAATAATGGTTTGGGTTTTTCTGATACCACTGGTTCTCTCACAGGTACAGGCCTATACACTTACTACCCTTTATTCCCTTCCTTTGGATACACCAAAGTGCAGAGCTGGTGGGCTTTGCCAGAGCTGGCTTCCAGTTGCTATCAGGACCAGCAGATTACAAATCATGCTCCTTAATTAATTAATTTAAAAATATCTAGTTTGTGTTATGAAAATTAAGGCAGTTAGAGAACTGGGTGCATTAATTTATCACACCAGAGAAGATTTTCATGTGTGATCTCACGTAAACCAGTCACACACACTGAGAGACCGCCTGGGTCGATCATTTATCTCCATTTCACAGATGAAGAAACTGAGACAGCTAACGAATGACAGAGGTAGGACTCGAGCCCAGGTTTCTCCTTTCTGGTCCTGTACTCTTTCTCTACCCTGTGCTATTCTGGTTCCGGTTTTCTGAGCTCTTCCCACACAACAGAGCCTCCCAATGCTCTGTTTTAAGGCTGCCTCAAATGCCCTTTCCTGAAGCAGCATGATTCATTTGTTTGTGAACTTTCACGAGTTCAGTCAGCCTCCATCAAGGGAGTTAGTGGCAGAACTAACACAGGCACCTGCTTCTCCTGAGCCACAGACCAGAGACAGTGCAGTAGAATGAAAAGCATTTCACAGGCTCTGGAGTCGGTCAGATATGGGTTCAAAATCAGGTGCCACCACTTGTCCGTGACCTTGGGCCACTTACTTGACCCTCTTGACCTTCCATGTTCTTATCTGCAGAACGGGAATAATTAATTCCAAGGCTTACTCATGAGCAGAAAATGAGAAAACACACATAAGGCACCAGCAGGAGGTGCTCAGGACATCCTGCCGGTTGCTCGCCTGTGCCCCGTCCCCTTCTGCAACACACAGGGTTCCCTGGGAGTAGAGGGTGTGAGTTCTTACAGTCATAATTCTAGTGAGAAACCCTCTGCGCTAGTGCCTCTCACACGTTACCGCGTGTGTGGAACAGTGCAGGATCTCATCGAAATGCTGATCCTCAGTCAGTGGGCCAGGGGTGGGTCCTGAGACCCTGTCGTTTTGCAAAACTGCAGATGACACCAGTGCAGACTATCTGCACATCGCACTTTATGGAGAAGGCTTTATGTAATATTAGCAACTTCTACCACCTCCAGTCCCATGATGCTGCTAAACAACAGAGAACAAGTATATGAATGTCTCTGCTTGAATGAGCAGCTAGGGCCCACACCCTGGCTCTCTGCACCCTCACCCCCTCTGTAAAACCTCTCTTAATCTTTCTGACTGGAATTCATGCTTTCTCTGAATTCCCAGAGCAGTTTTTGATTCTCTCTCACAGCCCTTGGAATTTTCCACCTCGTATTATGGGTTTTTATATTACTACATGACTGTGCTTTGAAGACAGGACTCAGGGCACACAGTAGGTGCATAATGGATATGTGAACAGCTCTGTGTTATGGAGAGATACCGCAGTAGAGGAGATGGGACGCCCCCTGCGGCTGGGGGAGCAGCTTTACTGCGAGGCCCCCGATCAAGCTGTGCCTTTCTCTCTGTCTTTGTTTTTGCTGGTGTGGGCGTGGGAGCAAGAGGGTGATGAGCAGGATCTCAGGGAGAGTTTTAAAAAATAGTTAAGTTCAAACAGTGTTTGTAGAATTCCAAGCAGTGTTGGAGGCTGGGAAGGAAACCTTTCTTCAACCTAAAAGAACTACATAGTTTCCAGTAGTAGTGGAGCAGCACGCATGACACTAAACATGCTGTGACGGTTACGTAACCGTTAGAAACTCTGGAGAAAGCGTTGAAAAAAAAAAAAACTCTTTGAAGGTATTAAAGAACAATCAAAAAGCAGTCAAGATTTGACTCATAAAAGAAGGGACCTACACTGAGTGAGATTCAATTTATGTGGCTTTTCCTTAGAAGGAAATCTTATGGCATCCTAAACGTTTGGTATGCAATGAGAAATTACTGGACAGCCCCCCCAAATTGTAAAAGTTGACCCATAATCGAGAAAACTCAGGTCATAGAAACAGACTAAAATAATCTGGTTTTGGCACTAGCAGACAGACTTTAAAATAATTGTGTTAATTGCTTTCATCTGTAGGAGGACAGGCTGAATAATGAGTAAAGAGATGGTGAAATTTAGGAAAGAGATAGAAACTTTGAAAAAGAACTTAGGAGTTGCAGTTCCTCTATGGCGGCAGAAGGCACTGCAGCTTGTCCCTCCCACTAATCACAACTATAATCTCTGGGCAAAATACAGTTACCCAGAGACTCCATAAGTAAATGAAAGAAAACAGATTTTGGTGGGGAGGAGAGCTTGGAGAAGCGAGTTTCTTACAGAGGTGAATTTTGTGTCACTGGTGGATTTGTCCTGAGGGTGGGCTCCATCACAGAGCAGCACAGTGGGGCAGACCGCCTATTTAGGGATAGAAACCTAATCTTTCTGGTTAAAGGATCCAGAAAAGGAGCTGTTTGGGGCTAGAAAGGAGTGCAGTATCCCACAGTGGAGGGAGCTGGAGAAAACCTTTTATAATTCTGGATATAAAACCATGCAAGTCTCAGGCTCACCCTGAGCTATCCTCGTATGGGACAGACTCAAACCAGCCTAACAAGAACTTTATGAACTAAACTGAGATTTTTAAACCACCACACACAGAAGGAGGAACAGAACTTACAGGCTGCACCCAGCCATTTTGATTGCCTGCAAAAACAGAAACATCAGTATTCCCCAGAGGATGCTAACAGAACCCAGTCTATACAGCATAGTATCACAACATCCAAGGTGCAATGCGGAATCTCTCAGCATACAGCAAGTGCTCCCCCTTGCTGGCCTCAATATAACCGGTGCTGGAACTACCACACACAGGCTTAAAAGCCCACGTTGTAACAATGTTCCATGTAATAAAGGGAAACACACTTGAACTTAGGGGAAAGAAAAACTCTAATCAACCCAGAAGTCTGTATTCTGGAAAAGCATTCATTCAGGAATGAAAACAAAAGTAAGACATTCTCAGATGAGAGAGAAATAAGAGAAAGTCCAGGAAATCTCATTTAAAGAAATGATTACGTTAAAGCAGCGTAGTGCCAGAAGGAACCTAAGATCAGGAATGAAGAAGAGCAGCAGAAGTAGCCAATGTCTACGTGATTGTAAAAGACCATTTCCTCCCCCTACGGTCTTTAAATTATATTTGAGTATTGAAAGCAAATGTGACGCATTGTCTGGTGGGGTTTTTTACCTAGTTTTATTTCTCTCCAGCCTGAGGAGCATCCTCTACCATTTCTTGCCATGTGACTCCCCTGGTGACTTATTTTCCCAACCTTCATTTATCTGGAAATATCTTTATTTCACCTTTATTTTTAGCAATATTTGTGTTGGGTATAAAATTCCAGAATGATTTTTTTTAATTCTGGCATTCTAAAGGATGTCATTCTAATGTCTTCTGAACTTCATTGTTTCTGATGAAATTTCAGCTGTTCTTTTTATTCTTATTCTCCAGTATATAATATGTCTTTCTTCCCCTGAATGATTTTTGCCCTTTGGGAAAAAAATTGTGGTTAAAATACACATAACATAAAATGCACCCTCTTAACCATTTTTTTAAATAGTTTTTTTTAGGGGGAAAGTAATTAGGTTTACTCATTTATTTACTATTAGAGGAGGTACTGGGGATTGAACCCAGGACCTTGTGTATGCTAAGCGTGCCCTCTACCACTTCAGCTCTACCCTCCCTTCCTTAACTATTTTTAAGTGTTCAGTAGTGTTAAGTGCTTTCACATTGCTATGCGACTAATCTCCAGGACCCTTTTCATCTCTCAAAATTTAAACTCTCCACTCTTAAACAACTCCCCACTTCACCTTCCCCATAGCCCCTGACAACCTTCATTCTACTTTTTATCTGTATGAATTTGGCTTCTCCAAGTGGAATCATATAGTACTTATCTTTTCATAACTGGCTTATTTCCCTTAGCATAAGGCCCTCAAGGTTCATCTGTGTTGCAGTATGTGTCAGAATTTCCTTCCTTTTTAAGGAGGAATAAATATTTCATTACATATATTTTCCATATTTGGTTTATCTACTCATCCATTGGTAGACATGTGGGTTGCTTCTGCCTTTTGGCTTAATAATGTTGTGTTACAATGCTGCTGTGAACATGGATTTATAAATACCCTTCAAGACTTCTTTCAATAATTTGGGGTATATACCTCCAAGTGGAATTGCTGGATCATATGGTAATTCTATTGTCATTTTTTGGAAGAATTTCCATACTGTTTTCCATAGTGGTCACACCATTTTACAACAGTACACAAGGGTTCAGATTTCTCTACATCCTCTCATCACTTCTCTGTCTTTTTGATAGTAGGCATCCTAATGGACTCCAT